CTGCTCTGTTATATGTTGCTACGAAGTTTTTAATGTTTCAGTTTTCCTGTTCGTTTCCCTTCCCCACAGGGAAACGAAAGGAGGGGGAAACAAGCGATACTTTAGAGTATTCAAGAGGTTGTGATTAATATTATTAGTTATAGGTATCTATGGGCTTTCTTTACTGCCTTGCTTTCCGGAATTACTAGATCTTTATTATGGAACGTTAAATATAAGAAACTAACCCGTTTAGTAAATTAAACATGTTGTTCTCTTATAAAAGCCGTCAAGCCAACCTAGCTGTTTTCTAAAAATGGGCGAGTAATTTAAGGCTTTGCCTATTTATGTCAGATCTCTAATAGACTGGACAGGAATCGAACCTGCGTGCACAGCATGAAGAGCTGTTATCCTACCACTAGATGACCAATCCATTATCACAGCTTTATTCATTTGACGGCTAAACAGCTATGCTTTGTTACGCGGACCCGGGAATCGAACCCAGAACTGCCGATCATGAGTCGGCGATTATACCGTTTAACTAATCCACAAATAAACTAATAGATACAAGATAGAAGAGTCGAACTTCTGCCATCGACGTGTAAAGTCGACGTTCTAACCGTTAAACTAATCTCGCTTTAATTAGGTATACATGCGATAGTATAACTATTTCTTATATTATTTGTAAGTAATGTTTATTTCTTATAGCCGCCCCTGTCGAAAGCAGGGCGAGACAAAAAGGGGATTATGCAGATTGTTTAGAGCCTGTTACTTCGCTTTTACCAAAGGCGAACAGTAGACCAGCTGCGTAAATTAAGATCAGTCGTAGGTCACCGATGTTGTCTAGTGAAATACCTGATAGAATTGGTACGAATAGTAATAATGTGATTGAGATTAAACCAATCATGATGTATAGAGCGTATTGTGTTACAATTCCAGTATCTAATCGTGAAATTGTTTGGCTACCTCCGTATAGTGAGTTAGTTAGTCCGAATGGTCCTAATAACTCGATAGCTCCTCGATCTAATACTTTAGCTGTAATCATTCCAAGACCTAAAGCCTTGTTAATTACGTAGTGGTTAATAACCGCGTCAAAGAACCACTTAGCGTTGAAGAATGTGTAGATTCGTTTACCAAGATCACTTAGAGCTAAATCTACAGTGAAGTTAGCTAATCGGTGGTACATTAGTAACGCTAATGATGCACCTCCAATTGTTCCAATAGCAGGAAGCAATTTATAGAATGTAGGAATTGAGAACTCAGCCTCAACTAATGTCACGTGTGATGGGTGAACAAATAATGATGTAGCAAGCATATCGCTACCCATACCTACGAAACTATCTTTAGCAATGTAACCGAAGAAGATTGACATTACTGCAAGGATTACTAAAGGCACTACAGTGATCATATCTTGCTCGTGAGTGTGCTCGTAGTCCACTTTAGGAGCGTTAGGTGTAGTTAAGAATGTCATACTGATTAGACGGAATGAGTAGAATGCAGTAATCATAGCCGTTAATGTTCCTAACCAGTAAACGATGTGTCCACTCATAGTGTATGTAGCATATCCTGACTCAAGGATTAAATCTTTAGAATAGAATCCTGTCATGAATGGAATAGCCATTAGACTTAGTGAACCAATTAAGATAATTGTGTAAGTGAATGGTAGTAAGTTAATTAAACCACCAAGTCGTCGCATATCTTGTTGGTCAGCCATTGAGTGTAATACTCCACCAGCTGCAAGGAATAGTACTGCCTTAAAGAAGGCGTGGTTTACTAGGTGGAATAGCGCTACTGAGTATTGTGAAATACCTACTGCCATAAATAGGTATCCCATTTGTGAACAAGTAGAGTAAGCAATAACACGTTTAATGTCATTTTGTAGTAGACCTGTTGTTGCAGCGAAGAATGCTGTAATAGCTCCCACCCATGTAATTACAACAAGAGTTGTTGGAGCGTACTCAAGTAGTGGAGAAGACCGTAGAAGTAAGTAAACTCCCGCAGTAACAAGAGTAGCAGCGTGGATTAACGCTGAAACTGGTGTAGGTCCCTCCATGGCGTCAGGTAATCATGTATGTAGCCCTAATTGAGCTGATTTACCCATTGCGGCGAATAGGAATAGTAGTCCAATGATAGTTAGAACTGTCTCGTTCATGTAAGGTGACAGACTGTAAACTGTAGCGTAATCTAAGTTACCGAATGCCCAGAACACACCGAAGAATGCAATACTTAAGAAAGTATCACCTACACGGTTAACTGTCATGGCTTTGATAGCTGATTTGTTAGCCTGGATTCGAGTGAACCAGAAGTTAATCAGTAAGTATGAAGATACTCCAATACCCTCCCATCCTACGAATAAGATTAGGTAGTTATCTCCAGCTACTAATACTAGCATGAAGAAAGTGAACATTGATAGGTATGAGAAGAATCGTTGGTTGTGAGGATCAGCAGCCATGTAACTCATAGAGTAGATATGTACCATTGATGAAACTACTGTAACAGGTAGTAACATTGATACTGTTAGGCTGTCGAACATGAATGCCCAGTCTACAGACATCATTCCTGAGTCAATCCAACTACTTAAGTAGATTGATACAGGTGATCCACATAATGCTACCTCGTAGAAGGCAACAATAGATAGAAGTGCAGATGTACACATACATACACTTGTAATTAATTGTGCACCAGTAACTCCAAGTTTACGTCCAAGTAAACCGGCTGACGCAGCACCAAATAATGGTAGAGCTAAAATTGATAGGTACATCTAACGTAGAGTAATTGATCCTCGTAATCGGTAGAATGCAACTAAGATACCAAGACCAATTGCGGATTCTGCTCCAGCAATGGCAATGATGTAGATGCTGTAAGTTTGACCTACAATGTCATCGAAGCTGAATGAGCTAACAATAACTAGTAAAGTCACCGCTAGTAACATCATCTCAATACTAATTAGCATTAGAATAATGTTTTTACGGTTTAGAACGAATCCTAAAATACCTACAAGGAATAACACTAATGATAATGTCATGCATCTTGTAATAGTTCCTATTGGTTTCCTTTGTATTATAAGTTTGTGGGTTTCGCCCCTTACAGTCATAAATAATGAAAGAAGGCATACCAATAACCCTATTTCCGTAGCGCCCAAAAACAAAGCGACATTTTGGCCCCCCTGCTACGCAGGGGGGG